ATGTCGCATCAAAAAGTGATCTAGAATAAATTATCCAGATGTTCTTCAGATAATTTTTGCACGACATTGGAAAATAAATTTATGATTAGGATTGTAGTTTAATTTTGAAGATCGCCATTGAATTTTTAAAATTAAAATTATCTGCATCTGGTCGTTGTCATTTTTCATATGAATAAAAAAAAATTGTATAGGATTGGTAACTTTTTTCATTTGAAACGAAAAATTGCTTGTTATCCGAAACTCTATCTCTCGCCACCCTCCGATAAACACCCCCTCATGTATACGCTCGGTACAGTACCTGCTGTGTCTCTCGATACAACGGGTAATGATGTATACGCGATGACAGAGTGAATTGGTCCATGCGAAGGTCGTTCTCGCGCTCTCATTAGCCTGATTGTTCATCGGCAGATATATCTTATCCCTACACACCGCATTATATAGGGCGATGGTCTCCCTTCTCCCAGCCGGCCGGGCGTTATCGATTGTTACGAACACCGTGGCCAGAACCGTAACTGAGGATCGCGGCGCCTACAGCAAATTATTTTCAACGCGTCTGTTTTAATAGAAAATTAAAAAAAAAAACTTTTAGATAATTTTCTAATTTTTAAGGAAGAAAAAACTCGCAATGTCACTAATCAAAAATTTGGAGAAGATCAGGGGAGAACGTGATAACAAATGTCAGAGTGATTGTCAGTTGGACTTCTATGCAGTCAGATAAACGCAATATTTTTTTATCTCGCGGAAGAGATACTTCGCGTTGATTGTCTGCGATTGCGACACGCGTGACGCTCTTTTAAAAGTAGCGCCGACAGGAAGAGGAACCACAGCCGAATTACGGGTCTGCCCGTGCCGTTTGATAACGCGCTAAATGTGCACTTTCCGCGCGCGAGACCGTGCGTCCGCATCCGCAACCCTCCACCGGCTGCGCCAGTCGCACGTTGGCCGATGACGGACGCGCACGGGGTGAAAGTAAACGTGTCTCCGACCGGCGACACGCTACTCCGGGGTAAGTGCAATTCGAGCGATTCCAGGGGCAATTTACCGGGTCCGACGGAGTGACCGGACCTCCCGGAATTCGCCCGGGGTGTTTCGGACGTTTTGCAAATCCCGAAGGTGCATAAGGCATAAATCATTTTTTTTATCTCGAAAATTTTTCTCGTCTTAAGTCGAGGAAATCGGACAAATCCGTTTTGCGTCTTGTTTTTTTACGCTCTCAAACAAAGGAATATGCGAGGCTAGCTTGCACGAAGTTACTTTGCATTTTATGGAAATGCAAAAGGAATGTGCTTCAGCTATGAGAAACGAAGCGAATCCATTACATATCCGTGTTACATAGCTTTTTACATGTATTGAGATTATGTAATTTGAGAAATGCTTTTTCCTAATCGGCAGAGTCTTTGAGAGCGCACCTGCTTTCGGACATCCTGGTGAGCATTTCGGTAATTTACTAAATATGAGATTAGAATTCATATTTCTTCATTTCTTTTTTAAATATATTAAATTTAATCTGTGTATCTTTCTACCACAACTATCATTCATATAAAACCATCGCGAAATTATATTTTTGGCATTTTTTAATTTTACCTCCAAAATGGAAAGATACACAAACGATTCATTCCAATTTTCACATGTAATAAAGTTCTTTTTTTGTCAACTTTTAGTTACGAAATTGGAAAAAAACATAATTATTCTCTATAAAAATTAAACTTTTTTTTGTCTGCTCTTTATAGCATAATCTGTTAATTCTATAAAAATTTATTTCAATCTGCATATATATGAGAGAATCTTTTTCGCCTTTTCGTTTCGATTTTTTATTATAAAATTAAAAAATGATATAATCATTAATTTTCTATTAAAATTAAATCTTTTTTATTATATTCTCTTTATAATATAATTTCTTGTGCTTTTATCGTGCGTTTACAAAAATTTATTTCGATTTCCACACGTGAGTTTTTTTGTCGACTTTTAGTTACAAAAATTTAATATAATCATCAAGTTTTATTAAATTAAAATTTTATTATTTTATCTATTCTTTATAATATGATTTCTCAACGCTATTTCTATAAAAATTTATTCCAATTTTCGCATACGAGAGAATTCTTTTTTCTCTACTTTTAGTCATGAAATTGGAAAATGACATACTCATTAAATTTTTCTTAAAATTAAGCTTATCCCTTTTTTATAATATGATTTCTATTTCTATAAAAATTTATTTCAATTTCCACACGTGAGACAGTTCTTTTTCATTCAAGTTTACTTACAAAATTAGAAAATATGATATAAGACTATTAAGTTTTTGTTAAAATTAAATACTTTTTAATTCTTTTTATAGTCTTTTCTCTTTATACAGTCTTTCAATCACATTTCTATAAAAATGTATTCCAATTTCCATATATATAATCCTTTTTTGTCGACTTTTAATTACAAAATTGAGTATAACCATTAAATTTTTGTTAAAATTAAATTTTTTTATTGTCTCTTTATAATTTCTCAATCATATTTTTTAAAAAATTTATTCCAATTTCTATATGTGAAAAAATTACTTTTCGTCGACTTTTAATTACGACTTTTAATTAAAATTAAAGAGTAACATAATTAATTATTAAATTTCTATTAAAATTAAATCTTTTTTATTGTCTTCTTTTTATAACGTGGTCTCTCAATTCCGTTTCCATAAAAATTTAAAAATATACGTGATTCTTTGAACGTCTAGTAGATACTATCATACTCCAGTATTCGATTTTTCGCCCGCCGCCGGATACACCAGTTGCGTTTCCGCGCATAATTCACGAGCGAAGATTACTTCCGTCTGATCGTATCACGTAGCGCATACAAAATATTGGATTATCTTCTAGATATTGCAAAGAGTATCGAGGCGAGCGTGTCGGTGTCGATGAAGAGAACGGCAGACTCTGCGGCGATATAATGGCACCCAGGAAGCCGACCAAATACGACGACTCGTAAAATCACGAAGATGGAATTGCGCAAAGGCTCCTGGAAGATCCTGATCCTCGTGTGCGTGTTGGTCATTTACCTGTGGATGCTCTTTGTCGATCATTCACACATGCTGGCCGACATATCGCAGAGGATCACGCTGCAGAAAACGCGGATCTCCGCGAGAAACACCATGTACCAAAGTCCCGATCGATCGAGGATCGAAGAGACACCCCCGAATGGACTCCGGACAGACTCGAAGAAATCGCAGTCTTTTCCATCCCGGAACGCGAACAACACGCTCGAGGGAAGCTTGTCGGAGTATCAGATGCTTAAGCAACAGGGTCTGGTACCAAGCCGGCAATTGCCAACCGCTCTGATAATCGGCGTGAAGAAAGGCGGGACGAGAGCCCTTCTGGAGTTCTTGAGGTTGCACCCCGCGATCCGCGCTGCTGGCTCGGAAGTTCATTTCTTCGATCATCATTACGTCAAGGGGTTTCGTTGGTACAGGTACAAAGTGTTTCTACAATTAAAATAAAATGCTAATTAAAACTTTATGCTTATGAAATTCTGGCATAGAAATTTGATCTTCGCGTTGTACACGGAAAAAACAATTTTGCTAGAAGTCTGAAAAATAATTTTGTTGGGCTATCAAAATAATTATGTAAAACATTTAACTTAATTGCTAGAATAATGTTTGCAGTATTATTATTATTATGTTCAAATGTCCTACGTAATTATTTTGATGGTCCAACAAAATTTTTCTTCAGATCTCTCTCTGGTCAAATTTTTAAATCCTACAGTAAAATTATTCTTTCCTTGTATTTCTGTTTTTACATATAAATAATAACTTTTATATGCGTAAGCAACTTAGAAATAAACGTAGCGATTTAATTTTCAATTTAATATTTTATAACTGTTATAATTAAAATTAATGATTATTTTAAAATTATAATTAATTTAATAATTAAACACTTTAATTATTTAACATATTCTATCCAAAAATCATTTTTTTCTAATATATATTTTTTAATTATATCAAGGTATATATATGTATATATATTTTATCTAATAATAATAATAATAATAATAATAATAATAATAATAATAATAATAATTTAAATTTTTATTTCAATAATCAGACGTAGGATGCCCCCGACTCTGGTCGGCCAGATCACCATGGAGAAGACGCCATCGTATTTCGTGACGAGCGAGGTGCCAAAGAGAGTGAAGCACATGAATCCGGGGATGAAACTGATTGTCGTGGTGAGGGATCCCGTAACCCGGGCAATCTCCGATTACACACAGGTGAAGAGCAAACGTCGCAAGATGCCGCGTTTCGAAGACCTGGCCTTTCTGAATGGGTCGAGGATCGTGGATACCTCCTGGGTACCATTGAAAATCGGAGTTTACGTACGGCATTTGGAGCGATGGTTGCAGTACTTCCCGTTGTCGCAATTTTTATTCGTGTCCGGCGAACGTCTGATTGCCGATCCGGTGATGGAGATCACCAGGGTGCAGGACTTTCTGGGCCTGAAGCGGGTAATATGCGAGAAGCACTTCTACTTCAACGCTACCAAGGGCTTCCCTTGCTTGCTCAAATCGGAGGACCGCGCAACGCCGCATTGTCTCGGTAAGATAGTCGAGAATCGGTCACATAAGAGAGAAGAGAAACCCCTCAAAAAACATAACGTGACATATTTGCAAGTAAAACAAAAATTATAAACAGATCTTAAGGTTTAAAAAAACAAAAGTTGAATAAGCGAATCAAATCTTGCTTTGTTGAAGTTACTTAAGATTTTTTTGAGAAATATACGGTGAGTCCGCTTGTTCACTTAGAATTTTGTAAAATTGTGTAATGTTTATTATTTTTTAGGAAAAAATAAAGGTCGCAGTCATCCATATATCGATCCTATGGCGGTTCAGCGTCTTCGAGACTTCTATCGGCCGTTCAATCAGCGATTTTATCAATTGGCGGGTATGGATTTCGGCTGGTACTAAAATCCGCGCGTATCACATACATACATATCGTGAGCAGGAAAACGAAACGGAGTCAATTCTCATCGTATATCAAGTACTTATTGCGATATCTATTACACCCGAATACCTGTAATCTGATAGGAACACATACGTTATAGATAGTCACATCAGAAGGCGCCGCTATTCCATAGTGTTTAGACGCTTTTCTTTTTATTATCGATGATAAGGTCTTGAATTTTAGATCTTAATTTTTTCAAATTAAGTCGCAAGAGAAGGTATATCTTTTCTCAATTTTTTACTAATAAATTTAAATAATCTGTAAACACTCTATATATAACATGTGCAAAATTTTTCCAAAAATCTTGCTTCTAACGGTATAATTTTTAATTTCATTGGAGATTCTTTTGAAATTAAATTAAATTAAAATATTTAATTAATCTTTTCTAATTTTTTGTTATATTAATTTTATATAGTAAATCTAAATACTCTTTGTTACATATGATAGAAGAATTACACAATAGAACATACAATAGAAGATATTGTTTTTTGCTTGTTATGTAAAATAGTTCATATCTAGATATGAACATAGTTTATCTAGGCTTGAGTTACCAAGCAAACAAAGTTCTAAGATATTAGATTTGCCACTGTAAAACTAACAGAAAGGAACGTTTAAAATGAACGTACAGTTGCCGTCCGGAAGTTTTTAATCCAAGTAGCAAGATAACGTCATAATGACGTCATCTTGCTACTTAAGATGACGTTCATATATATATTACGACGTCATCTTGCTATTTGGGAAACGAAAGAAACCGCGACATATCTATACTTCCTATAAAGATTAAAATAAAACTACAATAACGAAATTGTATATCTAACAATTATGTCAAAGATATCTCTATATATATATATATATATATATATATATATATATATAATAAATAAATAAAATAAATAATTAATTTATTA